AAACCCAAAATCTCTGTAAATGTTTATGAAAATTAATAAAATATAATTATAGAAAAAAAATAGATAGTTGAGGGAAGAAAGTTTCAAGCAGTAGGAATAAATAAGTGCAAAAACTCTGAAGTAGGAATGTACTGGATGAATATAGTAAGCATAGCTAGGATGGAGTGAACAGAGTAGGAGGTGAAGTCAATTAGATAATGTGACATATAAGGACTTTGGCTATTATGCTGAGTGAATGGGAAGCAATGGAAGATGCTGAACAAAAGAGTTACAAGATAGAACTCATTGATTTTTTTTTTAAAGGATGAGAAAGTGGGGAGCAGTTTAAGAAGTTTCGTACTGGCATTTGACAAAAGGTGGCGAGGCTTGTCGGTGATGGCAGAGCTGGGTGAGGCGAATGAAGTGGAGTTGCAGCCAAACTGCAGAAGGCACAGTTCACAGCACAGGTGCATCATTTTATGGAGCTATATTGGGTAAGTGTGTGGAAAACCAGGGAATCGCCTGGACTCCCACACTGAAAATTCTCTAGCTGTGTGGATGGCTTCATTGATCCTACACTTGCCATGGTCAGTCGTTTTGCCCAGATTGTACAGAAAGGAGGGCAATAGGCCATCTGCTGGGAACATGACAGAAGCCATAAAGGACTTGTTATTAATGTGCCAGTGGAATATGGATGTCATCCCATTGTTACCTCAACATCAGGCTGTACCAAGCCTCTTAATGCTAAAAACAGATCAAATGTGCAAAAAGGAGAAATTTATTTGGAATTAATAAATTCCAGATTATATAACATCAGTTATTCAATAAATGTGAATCTCCCCCTAAATAAAAAGTTTTGTAGTAATTCAGGTGAGAAGAAGTGATGACTTAATACCATTAATTCGTTGCTGTGGACTCATCACTGACCCTCCACTGGGTTTCTGAGGCTGTAAATTGCATAGCCTCATTTGTGCTTTATTGATTAGGCAAAAGAATTTGTGTGGATCATAACAAATTATGGTGAACATTGAAAAGAATGGTAATCTCAGAACATTTAATTGTACTAATTTAAAATTTATACTTAGACCAAGAAGCTGTTGTCTGAGCATATCAAGGGGACACTGTATGGTTTAAAATTAAGGCATGCATCAGAGTTGTACCCTTTCTCCATACCTATTAAATCTGTAGCCTGAGCAAATAATTTGAGAAGCTAGACTCAATGAAGAAAAATGTGATATTATGATCAGAATAAGATTTATTAACAACCTGCATTATATAGGTGACACAATCTTATTTGCTGAAAGTAAGAAGGATTTGAAGTGCTTGATGCAGAAGATCAAAGACTTCAATATGGATTACATCTCAACTTGAAGGGAAAAAAAATTCCTATCACTTAACTAGTATACAATATCATGAGAAATGGAAAAAAGAGTGAAATTGTCAACAATTTTATCATACTGGGATCTACTATAAATACTG